AAACCACCCTCTGCTACCAATTTTGTTGATGATCACAAGTTTACTGGAGAACGGAGACCAAGTAGAGACTTTCGGACAAGGTGGATAATTGTATAATATAAGGCAGTTTATTCAGAGGTAAAGATATCTGTAAATAGCGTGCACGGACCCGTTCGTCAATCTCGTAGGGAGATATCTGAGAGCGCGCCCCTAAACATTGTGTGCTGACATTTTATACAATAAAATAAAGTAGGTTGATTCTAGTAGTTCTGATCTTCTGATTGGTCCTGATGAGTTGGTCGAGGTCACCTCCATTGCATTGGCTCTGAGTCGGGTTCTCTGTCTTCAGATGTTCAGCCTAAGAGAAGGGGGTTTTTGTGTGTGTGTGCTTAACAATGATGATGTGTGTGTGTGTGTGTGTGCGTGTGTGTATGTGTGTGTGTGTGTGTGTGTGTGTGTATGTGTGTGTATGTTTAACAATGATGATGTGTGTGTGTGTGTGCGTGTGTGTATGTGTGTGTGTGTGTGTGTGTATGTGTGTGTATGTTTAACAATGATGATGTGTGTGTGTGTGTGTGTGTGTGTATATGTGTGTGTGTGTGGGGGTGTGTGTGTGTATGTCCTCAGAGCAAGAAGTCGTGAGTTGGGAGAACTGAGAGACCTATGGCGTGGGTGTTGTCCATAGCCACCTGCTGATAAGGCCGGCAAGATAGAAGTCTTTGTGCATTGTATTAAATACAAAGGCCCAACACAAGATGGGTCATGCACAAGATTTTAGTCAGACCAAGCTATAACATTATATATTTACTACGACACATGTAATGTAACATCTATTTAGGGTCACCTGGATGGTTCCTACCCTGTCAATAATTCCTCCCTGTTTTATTATTTTGTTGCCTTATCAAACAATGGTTTCAAGGTGCTGCCCACTATATTCCAACTATAGAATTAGAATAATCATTCTATTTCCATGATGCCAACAGTTCATCAATTAACTAGGCCTAGATCTTTTGCCCAAATCATGCTGCGTGGCAATGTGGAAATGCAGAAAATGCATAAATTGATGACAATGCTGAAAAAATATGTTGTTTGCAGTTGGATTGAACAGTATAAAAAATTCAGAATGGAGTAAGCCCCTTTGAAATTACTTATAATTTGTGTTGCTGCCACATTTAGAACTTATACCATCATTTAGAATAAATACCGTCATACAGTAATAAAAATATTGTGATATAATTTGTCCATATCGCCTTCCCCTGGTCTATGCTATTAAAATGTGGGTCAAAAGGGAAATAAAAGTATTATGAGTTTTTCGGGGGCTAAGGAGGACACTCTACTGGTATCTACCGGTGTCGCCCCTATGCTATGCTGCCTGCTATGTACTGGAGTCATCCTAGTTGACTAGCTAGCTAGCACAGTGTTCTTTGCTCCCACCTGCTAAACACCTTAACACCTAAACATCATTAACAGAACTGCGGAAAAACAGTGCCCTACATGCGGGGCCGATGGACACTCTACCGCTGTCCTAGCTAGCTACCGGTGCAGTGTTGCCAACTCCTCAGTAAGGAAAGTAGCTATTGGCTGTCCTAAAAGTCACTAGAAGTCGCTAAATGACGTCATCGTCTAATTTGCATAATTGGCTATGTGCATGTAATTGTGATGGACACTATAGGAGAGAGGAATAACGTTGTGGGAGAGACATTTTTTTGATTGTTTTTTTGTATACAATCTACATTAACAATCTAAATGGACCAAAAGCACTTAGTAGTGGAGATGTTGATGTTGAAGTGTCAATGAGCAAGACAGAGGCAAAATGGTACAGAGATGGCAGGAGCAGTGGAATAGAAATAATAAGGGAAGGCATTTATTTCAGGTACAGAGGAAAGTCAGGGAGGGGAGGATGGCAGGAAGGGCCAGAAGAGAGGAGGCTACAGGCTTTTACAAGATTAAGGGTGGGACACAGCCAGTTGAATAAGACATTAAACGTGATAGGAAAGCATCCATCAGGAAAGTGTGATTATTGTCAGGAAATAGAGACTGTGTAGCATGTATTGCTACAGTGTGGGCAGTATCAGAGGGAAAGAGAGAGGATGAGATTTAGTATGAGGGAGAAGGGGATACAGGAAATTAGTTTAAAGAGTATATTGAGCAGAACGTCATTAGATATAGTCTCAAATATTTTGTTATCTTTTTAAAGAGAAACGGGGTTGGAAGGTAGGATTTAGTTTCTCCCTGTCTCTGGCCCACATTCCAGTACGGTAGGTGGCGGTAATGCACCATAATGTTAGATGCCAACCGCCGATAAACCCCACTGAAGAAGAAGTAAATCGACCCCAAAAAAATAAGGGCGGGATCAGCCTGCGGCGGCTTCCCACATGCGTGGTTCATTTGCAGTCTGGACGCGGAGGGGTGAACATCTCCTGCTCTGACTGCAGCTGGGAGGGACTGCTGCGCGAGGACTGGGCCACCTGTGAGTGCTTTGGGACGGGGGTGGGGCCCACGGCAGCACCCGCTGCTCATTGAGAAGAGTAAGAACGATACGTGCTTTCACATCAGAGTCTCCAATAACACCAGAAAAAGTCGCTAGTCGATTTTTTGAAAATGTCGCTAGAGGGGTCTGAATACTCGCTAAATATAGTGACTAAGTCGCTAAATTGGCAACACTGTAACCGGTGTTGTCGCCCCTGCCTTTTCTTCTGTGGGGTTTATGGTCGGTTTGCATCCAATGTTAAGGTGCATTACCGCCACTTACTGTACTGGAACGCCCCCGCCTGTGTTCCGGAGTCCTAGCTTAAAAATGGACTAATAGAAGTATAAAGAGCAGTTCCGCAGGAACGCCCCGAATTGCGGGCCGCAATTGCACCCTCCTTCTTTATTCTGGTATTTATTAAGCAAGCGTGATAACACATCACTCCCAACAGACACAAGTACAAACTCTTAGCTATGGTGAGGAGCGTGTGCGCATTCTGATGATGGATGTAATTTTCTTCTTCTTCGATGGTGTTTAACGGCGGTTGGTATCCAATGTTAATGGTGCATTACCGCCACCAGCTGGACGGGGTATTGAATTAGAAACGAAAAAAACATTGCGGGAAAGGGGGAAAACGACATCATACAAAATAAAACACGTCAACTACGAAACCCATCCCACTTTTTCATTCACAGTCCACTCCAAAATACACCCATCCCTACACAGGCTCAGGGGCCTGTGATGGCGGTACATTCACCGACGGGATTTCTTGCACGGCCTCAGCTGTGAAATCACGAAGACCCAAAAAACGTTCAGAGGCATTCACAACGATTCCAATTTTCTTAGACTTATTCTACGCTTGTGCTGTACAGTTTATGACCATTGCAATAAATAATACAAAGTCCACCTTTTTAACATGTAGCATTTCACTATCCCTCGGTTGATGAGAAACCTTAACTGGTCGTGGAGCGTGTACCATTGTTCCTTCCCCGCCACTCGTTCCTTCCAATCTTCTTACCGCCTCCAGATAGGAGACACGCTGGACACTCCTTACCCTTGCCACTGTAACCGGTGTGAAATGGCTAGCTAGTTAGCGGTGCGCGCTAGTAGCATTTCAATCGGTGACGTCACTCGCTCTGAGACCTTGAAGTAGTTGTTTCCCTTGCTCTGCAAGGGCCGCGGCTTTTGTGGAGCGACGGGTAACGGTGCTTCGATGGTGACTGTTGTCGATGTGTGCAGAGGGTCCCTGGTTCAAGCCCAGGTAGGGGCGAGGAGAGGGACGGAAGCAACACTGTTACGTTGATGCTGTTGACCCGGATCACTGGTTGCTGCGGAAAAGGAGGAGGTCAAAAGGGGGTTGAGTGTATAGTTTCCCTTCATCTGGCATACGATACTCTTCCCTTCTGCACACACTTGACATATGACCAAGTCTTTTACATTTATGACACAGAAGGGGCTTGTGCACAAAAGCTCTTACAGGGTATCTCATGAATCCTAACTTTATATGAGAAGGGAGAGACTCTTCATCAATGAACAGTAGCATGGATGAAGTGAATTTATTTTCTCCTTCCACCATACAGGTCAATCAACATGCACCAACCACTCCATCGATGTCTTCAGTTATATCCTCTGCCTTTACTTCTTGCACCACTCCAGAAATAACCCCCTTGATAGGCGCCCTGCTACGAAAATCCATACAGGAAACATTCCACTCCGATATCTTTTTGAATCTTAAAACACGCTCCGCAGACACACAAAAAAATCTAAATAAGACCACTTCTTTCTTGTATGGTAATTTTCACTATACCGATTGAGCTTTTAAAGCTTCGCTCGCGAGTGACTTCATCACACTTAAATGACGTCATAATTAATTTACATGACGCAATATTCAACAAGTACCCAAGATTTGAACACAACTCCTAACTCAGGTCAGTGCCCTTATCTAAATAATTATTCCAATGGTCATGAATCTTGATCATCTCCAACCCCCAGCCCATTGACTACAATACACCATTGTCACCAATATATTGACCACAAGAGGTCACTCAATAGATAAGGATGGCAAACAGAAAGTTTAATTTAGCAGAGGTTAATTCACAACGATGCTGTACACTTAACAGTACTCATATCGGGTCACCACTCACTGTACTGTTTAGAGCTCGCAAGAAAGACATTTCACTGTACTTGTGCACATGACCTTGAAACTTGATATTGGGTCACTGTACTACTGTACTATTTTGTTTGCTTGATTAATATCCATATATTTTCAATAATGGAATTTAAACATTACATCGGTGAACTTTCCAATACTAAAATAGGTTAGTGGTGAATGTTGTGATATTTAGTAACTGTTCTGTATCAGGCTACCACAATATGAGTGCTGAAAGGAAAACACTGGCTGAGTAGTACTTGAAAAACGTTTGATATTGATAAGAGTTTCTTAAATATAAGGCAACTCAATGCAGTAGGTCAACATGTTGGGTTATCATAGGCAGTGAGGGATTGTAGGGTTCTGGAGGGACATGGTTTTGTGTTAGATCGTCACTCAGTGTCAGATCCTGAACATGCCAAGGAAGGTGGACTGAGGCTTGAGGACAAGCCCAGCAGATTTCCTGGGAATGGAGAGTTCCAGAGTGGATCCTGGCTCCAGGTAATGGACACCTGGGAGATAAACACCAGTAACTTCAGCACTGGGTGTAGTAGTGCAGTAATTGTGTTCCGTATTATAAGTAATTCATTTGAATGTCGTTTGTAACACACACTGGCCGGGGGGTTGGGTACACTCACCGGCTGTGAAGCAGGTGTTTTGGGCCACAGTGATGTTGCTGGGCATACTCTGTATGCATTTCATCAAGATGGTCTCCATACCACGTAGACGCTTCTTGATCACATGACCCATAGTCCATGTGGTGTCTTTATACAGCACCTGTACACAAACACAGTGATGGTATAGAGAGGACCTTGGCTTGACAGCCTCTCAAGAGATGACAATGTCTAGTTTTAATAGGCTACCTGACTGTAGATGAAGTAAGTCCCTTCGGTTACCACGGTGACCTTTTCTCCAGAGACCTGCAGCCCCTCCCCTAGACGACTCAGTCCTAGAGCCCATTTTACCAGAGTGTAGTCATCTTCATCTGAGACAACATAGTGGTTAAAAACATGGAGTGTATGTGTGTGTATGTATGTTGGAGACAAAATAATGTTGGAGAGTATTGTAGTTAATGCAAAGCCCCGTTTATACCTGGTTCTAACATGCATCCTTTTTCCTGATGTTGTCCACATTCCGAATGTGCCCACATTTTTAGACAGGTGTAGATGACTAAACAGGGCTATAGTGTGTGTGAGAGAGAAAGATAATGTACAGTATAGATGTGATGTCCGTGTACATTCGACTCACCATATGAGTGTGATGACAGAGGAACAAGGTGAAGAAAGGCACTCCTCCCTGCTGGATGAAATGGAAATTATAAAATATTAAGCAAGTTGTGCGTGTATGTGTATGTGTGTGTGTATGTGTGTGTCGGTAGAGACTGACCAGTGCGCCGCTGCCTCCGTCTCCCATTTCTTGAAATCTCCCTCTTTCCTCGAATCCCATTCCATTGTGTATGTCTGTGAGAGTCAGATATCTGTGTCAAATGCCAGATGACATCAGATGTGAACCTCATAGTGTGACAAGAATCAGTTGTTTCAGAAATGTAGTAAACAATCACATAATTGTCATATTTTTCCAGACTTCAACTCCATTGAGAAGTGTGGTGGATAATAAGCCTTATTGCTCGAACACCTAAGCATTAATAACTTCAAAATAGCCCAGTAGCCTAAGAATATGAATTGATGATGTCTCATAAGTTCTCGAAAACATACTTTACACATCACCTGATAGTGTGATAGGAATCAAATGTTTCAGATATGTGGTAAACAGGGTTGGGTAGGCTACTTTCTAAGTGTAATCCGCTCGAGTTACTAGTTACCTGTCCAAAATTGTAATCAGCAACGTAACTTTTGGATTACTCAAACTCAGTAACATAATCGGATTACTTTCTTTTACTTTTGGATAACTTTCCCCTTAAGTGGTATTAGAAGAAGACAAAAATGATCCATAAAACGCATTTGGTGTGTCATCATAGTGGTCTCTGTCTTGTGGTCAGACTCTGTCAGGCTGAACAAACTTAAACTTGCACCTATTTTCGATGCTGAATGTCATTGAGAAAACAGAAAGGTATGATCATGTATTTTTTCACAAACATCCTTTCTGGCTTTAAAAGTAATCCAAGAAGTAATCATCTAGTTTTTCAAAAGTATCTGTAATCTGATTTCAATATTTTTGCAGTTTTTTTGTAATCACATTACATGTAACAACTCCCCAACCCTGGTGGTAAACAATGAAGTCATTTTCCAGACTTCAACTCTACTGAGAAGTGTGGTGGAATAGGCCTTATTGTTCTAAGCATTAACAAGCATCTTGATTCATTACTTCAAAATCTAAAACGGCCTAGTGGGTAAGCCTAAGAATATTTATTGACTTCTTGTAAATTCTCAAAAACCTAGACCTACTTTACACATCAAGCAAAGTTTCACAATAGTGTTTTCTTTTTCGTGTAGACTATAACCTATTAGTAAATGTATGAACTCACCTACCCCACAGCGAGAGCTATCAGCAGATGATTCCTTTCTGTCCCCGCACACCAGACTGGTCCACTGACGCAGCTCCCGCAGTTCGACCTGAATCTCTCTGACCCGGTTGGACTGCAGGACCATTAGGCAGGCCAAGAACAGCGACACAGCGTACAGCAGATATGAGCCATAAAAATGTACTGTATAACGGTTTGTCATTATGTCACAAAGGCATACCAACTGTTACGAGGATGAGGGGATGGCGTCCTTTTTCAATGAAGGCTTTGTCAGGGCCGTAATGATCCCGTTATAATGTGTACTTTCACTTTCTGAATGTCATCATCGCATTATTTGGAAAATGATGACTCATACAGTCTCGGATTACAAAACTGCTATGAAGACCTGGAGGACCTGTGAAAACAAAGTGATAGGCCACAGAAGGCCAATAGGACTATCCTACATTGAAGTCTAAAGCTAAAGTTAATGTCTTGTCTTTATTAAATGTTTATACTTGTTTTGAGAAAGGCAGTGACCAAGACAAGCAAGTAGTTCATAAAAATAAAAATAACTGATTGTAATAACGGAATGAAAAGGGAATACAGTTCAGTGGGGTTGCAGCACTGCAGTCTACATTATAATGAATTAATGTACATTACCAGTCAAAAGTTTGGACACACCTACTCATTCAAGGATTTTTCATTATATTTTACTATTTTCTACATTGTAGAATAATAGTGGAGACATCAAAACTATGAAATAACACATATGGAATCATGTAGTAACCAAAAAAGTGTTAAACAAATCAAAATATATTTTATATTTGAGGACAGCTTTGCACACTCTTGGCATTCTCTCAACCAGCTTCATGAGGTAGTCACCTGGAATGCATTTCAATTAACAGGTGTGTTTGTTAAAAGTTAATTTGTGTAATTTCTTTCCTTCTGAATGCGTTTGAGCCAATCAGTTGTGTTGTGACAAGGTAGGGGTGGTGTACAGAAGATAGCCCTATTTGGTAAAGACCAAGTCCATATTATGGCAAGAACAGCTCAAATAAGCAAAGAGAAATGACAGTCCATCATTCCTTTAAGACATGAAGGTCAGTCAATATGGAACATTTCAAGAACTTTGAAAGTTTCTTAAAGTGCAGTCACAAAAACCATCAAGCGCTATGATGAAACTGGCTCTCATGAGGACCGCCACAGGAAAGGAAGACCCAGAGTTACCTCTGCTGCACCTAATAAGTTCATTAGAGTTAACTGCACCTCAGATTGCAGCCCAAATAAATGCTTCACAGAGTTCAAGTAACAGACACATCTCAACATCAATTGTTCAGAGGAGACTGTGTGAATCAGGCCTTCATGGTCGAATTGCTGCAAAGAAACCACTACTAAAGGACACCAATAAGAAGAAGAGACTTGCTTGGGCCAAGAAACACGAGCAATGGACATTAGACCGGTGGAAATCTGTCCTTTGGTCTGATGAGTCCAAATTTGAGATTTTTTGTTACAACCGCCGTGTCTTTGTGAGACGCAGAGTAGGTGAACGGATGATCTCCGCATGTGTGGTTCCCACCGTGACGCATGGAGGAGGAGGTGTGATGGTGCTTTGCTGGTGACACTCAGTGATTTATTTAGAATTCAAGGCACACTTAACCAGCATGGCTACCACAGCATTTTGCAGCGATACGCCATCCCATCGGGTTTGCGCTTAGTGAGACTATCATTTGTTTTTCAACAGGACAATGATCCAAAATACACCTCCAGGCTGTTTAAGGGCTATTTGACCAAGAAGGAGAGTGATGGAGTGCTGCATCAGATGACCTGGCCTCCACAATCACCCGACATCAACCCAATTGAGATGGTTTAGAATTAGTTTGTATTTGTATTTGCATTTATTATGGATCCCCATTAGCTGCTGCCAAGGCAGTAGCTACTCTTCCTGGGGTCCAGCAAAATTAAGGCAGTTATACATTTAAAAAACATTACAATACATTCATAACAGATTTCACAACATATTAAGGGTGTGCCCTCAGGCCTCTACTCTACTACCACATATCTATAACACAAAATCATGTGTACATGTGTGTATAGTGCGTATGTTATTGTGTGTTTGTATGCATGTGTCTATGTTTGTGTTGCTTCACAGTCCCCGCTGTTCCATAAGGTGTATTTTTATTTGTTTTTTAATCTTACTGCTGGCATGAGTTACTTGATGTGGAATAGAGTTCCATGTAGTCATGGCTCTATGTAGTACTGTGCGCCTCCCATAGTCTGTTCTTGACTTGGGGACTGTGAAGAGACCTCTGGTGGCATGTCTTGTGGGGTATGCATGGGTGTCCCAGCTGTGTGCCAGTAGTTCAAACAGACAGCTCGGTGCATTCAACCTGTACCTCTCACAGATCAAGTAGTGATGAAGTCAATCTCTCCTCCACTTTGAGCCAGGAGAGATTGACATGCATATTATTAATGTTAGCTCTCTGTGTACAGTTGTGGTCAAAAGTTTTGAGAATGACTCAAGTATTGATCTTCACAAAGTTTGCAGCTTCAGTGTTTTTAGATATTTTTGTCAGATGTTACTATGGTACACTGAAGTATAATTACAAGCATTCCATAAGTGTCAAAGGCTTTTATTGACAATTACATTAAGTTTATGCAAAGAGTCAGTATTTGCAGTGTTGACCCTTCTTTTTCAAGACCTCTGCAATCCGCCCTGGCATGCTGTCAATTAACTTCTGGGCCACATCCTGACTGAAGGCAGCCCATTCTTGCGTAATCAATGCTTGGAGTTTGTCAGAATTTGTGGGTTTTTGTTTGTCCACCCGCCTCTTGAGGATTGACCACAAGTTCTCAATGGGATTAAGGTCTGGGGAGTTTCCTGGCCATGGACCCAAAATGTCAATGTTTGGTTCCCCGAGCCACTTAGTTATCACTTTTGCCTTATGGCAAGGTGCTCCATCATGCTGGAAAAGGCATTGTTCATCACCAAACTGTTCTTGGATGGTTGGGAGAAGTTGCTCTCGGAGGATGTGTTGGTACCATTCTTTATTCATGGCTGTGTTCATAGGCAAAATTGTGAGTGAGCCCACTCCCTTGGCTGAGAAGCAACCCCACACATGAATGGTCTCAGGATGCTTTATTGTTGGCATGACACAGGACTGATGGTAGCGCTCACCTTGTCTTCTCCAGACAAGCTTTTTTCCGGATGCCCCAAACAATCGGAAAGGGGATTCATCAGAGAAAATGACTTTACCCCAGTCCTCAGCAGTCCAATCCCTGTACCTTTTGCAGAATATCAGTTTGTCCCTGATGTTTTTCCTGGAGAGAAGTGGCTTCTTCACTGCCCTTCTTGACACCAGGCCATCCTCCAAAAGTCTTCGCCTCACTGTGCGTGCAGATGCACTCACACCTGCCTGCTGCCATTCCTGAGCAAGCTCTGCACTGGTGGTGGCCCGATCCCGCAGCTGAATCAACATTAGGAGGTGGTCCTGGCGCTTACTGGACTTTCTTGGGCGCCCTGAAGCCTTCTTCACAACAATTGAACCTCTCTCCTTGAAGTTCTTGATGATCCGATAAATGGTTGATTTAGGTGCAATCTTACTAGCAGCAATATCCTTGCCTGTGAAGCCCATTTTGTGCAAAGCAATGATGACGGCACGTGTTTCCTTGCAGGTAACCATGGTTAACAGAGGAAGAACAATGATTTCAAGCACCACCCTCCTTTTAAAGCTTCCAGTGTGTTATTCTAACTCAATCAGCATGACAGAGTGATCTCCAGCCTTGTCCTCGTCAACACTCTCACCTGTGTTAAAGAGAAAATCACTGACATGATGTCAGCTGGTCCTTTTGTGGCAGGGCTGAAATGCAGTGGAAATGTTTTTTGGGGGATTAAGTTCATTTTCCTGGCAAAGAGGGACTTTGCAATTAATTGCAATTCATCTGATCACTCTTCATAACATTCTGGAGTATATGCAAATTGCCATCATGAAAACTGAGGCAGCAGACTTTGTGAAAATTTATATTTGTGTCATTTTCAAAACTTTTGACCACGTTGGCCCTGTTCTGAGCCAATTGCAATTTTCCTAAGTCCGTCTTTGGGGCACCTGACTATATGACAGAACAGTAGTCCAGTTCAGAGCCGGCCCTGGACGTTCTGCCGCTCTAGGTGCGAGAAAAAAATCTGCCCTTTTCTTTAACAACGGGTATGTGATACCCTCACTCAATTCGAGCCCTGGTTTTAACCAAACACACCAAGCCCTTCCCAGGCACCGAGGTATTTAATCAGTGCATGCGACAGTATTGGAGTATTTGGCTATACCGACATCTATGGATAGCATAATTGTGTCTGTCAAACAGGTAGGCTTACCACTTATTTTTTGGAATAGGAAGAAATAGGCTCCAATTATATATGTAATTCTATGATTATGCCCATAAAAAATGTTGGTGCACGCGTGCACATATAATTTAGGAGGTCCCTTACCAGGCAGAAGGGAATTTTACTTTAACCCCGTGCATCGGAGAGTTACAATGTTGCTATCACTTTGCAGCCAACTACCTATAGTAGGAAACCGACTTTCTTATTAATAATATGCCACCTGTTATCCCACATGGCACGATCCCATTATTGTTTCAATTACAATAAAAATAACACTATTGTAGCGACCCGCACAGACAGCTGTGTGTTATGTGTTAGGCTAGTAGATGGTTGTGTTGTACCTACCAGTACCCAGTGTTCGCGGGGTCCGACATGTCAATCAACCTGCTATCTGCCAATCACGGGAATGCCTGGAATGTTCTGATGCCGGGCATCCTGGTGGTTGGCGGAGTGGCGTGGAGGGGGGTTGGGCAGGGGGATGGAGCATTGGAAGTTAAGACCAGGTTTAGCCTTTGTTCTCTCTCTTTTTACGTCTGGGCTTCACAAGAGAAGGTCACGATTGGCTTGTGGGTTATCTTTCATTTATTTGGCGTGGGCTACGGCCAAACAGTAGCCTGTGTAAAGTTGGTTTAATAAACCGTCCATTCGTAAACTCAATCCTCTGTCTGGACAGTTGTTCTTTTATGATCTAGTCAGGTCATTACACTATTATATAACATATTTAACATATATTTTAATATTCCTGTAGAACTGTACAAAAGAGTGAGATCATTTGAGCTGTAGAAACAAGTGCTGTCATAAATGCATGGCGGGCCTCGTTTCGCTGGAGAAGTGTAAAAGAAGCTTTA